TTCTGGCCAGTGAATCTCTATTTTTCATTTTTCCATTTTTTACACACACACACCACACCACAGACACACACACACACACACACACATACACCAATACACAGCCACAAAGCCACACACCAACACACAAACACATACACACCAGCACACACCAACATACAGACAGACAGACAGACAGACAGACAGACACACACACACACACACACACACACGCATACACACACATGCGCATGTGCGCTCACAAACACACCCACACCCACCCAACAACAAACACCCACACACCCACACAACACACACATACACACAGAGAAAACAATTACAGCCATCCACAGTCCCACATACTGATACACTATTCAGGCAGGGCTCATCTCGGAGCTCACATTAAAGTCCATTCAGAAAAAGATGATATCCTAGCTTTTGGCCATAAACGGGTCAAATTTTGAGTTTTCGTCACACTCGTTTTGGCAATCCCCCATGGAATGCTCTTCAAATTGTGTTTTTGAAGTCTATTTCTCCAAAGAGCAATCCATAACAAGAATAGGATTTCGGCCAGGTTTTGCCCCCAAAGCACTGAATTGTGGAAAAACCAAGAAAATCCAGGCTGTTCATTTCACTTGCTTAACAGTACATTTGCTGTTCGAATCCCAATTGAGGTACTAGTACCCTTTTTGGACCCTTTTTGGACCCTTTTTGGACCCTTTTTGGACCCTTTTTGGACCCTTTTTGGACCCTTTTTCAAGTTTCGAATCTCGCGGCACTGCACAGTGTGCCACAAAATCGCCAAATACGGGAACTCTCCAGAGCCAGCGCTCATCTTTTTCTGAATGGACTGTAGTAGGATTCGGTGATATGCAAGCATAAAGAGATGGGAGGAGAAACATAGCAGGATGGAAGGAGACGCTTACTTGCAGCACAATGTTTCTAATCTAACTGTTAGGCTGAAAATCAATTGTACAACGCTGGTTTGAACGTACATTGCAGCTTCAATAAGACGAAAACCCAATCGAGAGCAGGAAGCTCCTACTTCGTACCCCAGGTACACTAAACCTGTGACTAACGGCCACCCCTTGGGGCCAGAGAAAGTGGTCTTTAGTGGCAGGTGGTCATTAGTTAGAGGTTTGTACCGCATAACCATTATGCGAATGCGAGACCGTCCGTGCCTGGCGCAGTGGTCTGTAGTACCAGGCTGGTCGCTAGTCACGGTGGTCTTTAGTTACAGGTTTTACTGTAGTACCAGGCTGGTCGCTAGTCACGGTGGTCTTTAGTTACAGGTTTTACTGTAGTACCAGGCTGGTCGCTAGTCACGGTGGTCTTTAGTTACAGGTTTTACTGTATTTCGAATTGCAACATACTTCTAATATATTGCAACATTCTTCAAATATTGTAGCAGTGGTGAGGCTTCCTGCCGCTTCATTCATAAAAAAGAGCAGACTCGCTCTCTTTCCATTCACTCTGCAGACGTTAAACTCGAACTCATTTGATCAATTTTTTACAACAATAGAGACTAACACTATATATGGAACCATACACACATGGTCTGGACAGTCTGTAGTCGAAAGTGTATATCGTATCATGAAACATGGCATCCGAGTTCCACAGAGCCACTGCTGAAAAGAGGCGCCCAGACTGGCCGCAGTTTCCCTTGGCGCTTACATGGATATGCATGTACCAAACCCAGTATGCACAGCAAGCATACCTTAGCGGTTTCACGACAGAATCCAGTTCGGCAGATCGCCGAGCTGGAGGAAACAGGACATGTCGTTCACTGACTTTGCGAAGCAGAACGTTGTAGATCGAGAGAAGGCATTGCTGCACTGCACATGTCTACATCCAACAACAATGGCCACACAAACACATTCACATACCAACAATCGCCACACAAAACCTGATATACACATACCACACTTTGACACCATAGCCACACAGACAATCACATTCCAATACACAAAGAGCGCCCATGTGTACGCCTCACCCAAACTACTAACAGTTAGTAAACAGAAAAGGAAGAAAAGCTCAAAAACCAGACAGTGAACATGTTACAGAATGTGGACAGCATGGACCAAGGTGTCTGTTGGAACTACAAATTAAACGCCAAAATGCGGCCATCAGACGGAAAACAATTGACCGATAAATTTTCCTTTGGTGTGTAACTCAAAGTTTCTACTACTATCTCAAGTGAACCCAAATACCGTAAAATCTTTTATAAAAGCCGCACTGGAATAGAAGCCGCCCTCGAATAGAAGCCGCAATAGTGGGCCCATCAAATCACACATAAGCTTGGTTTTAGTGTTCACATACATAAAAATACCTGTCTTGTATAGAAGCCTGTCTCATATAGAAGCCTGCAAAATTTCACCAAGAAAGTGATAGAAGCCGCGGCTTTTATACAAGACTTTACGGTACATGTATCCATTAATCCAACAGAGTCCAGTATTACTGCTTGCCACATGATTGTCTTGCAGCTGTACTGTGATCCAAGCAACAGTAATAATATAGAGTCGGAACAAGACTTACCTCACTGGCGGGCAGTATGCCACCACCGTATGCTTGACGCAGGCGTGAGAATTGTCGATCAAGCTGACGAAGATTGTACGTTAGCGCTAACCAGTCAACTGCATGCTGAAAGGTGCATGCAAACACCGCCTCTGTTAGGCTGTACACAATGTGACATGCACACACACACACACACGCACACACACAAAAACGCACATACACACACGCACGCATGTACGCACACACACACACACACACACACACACACACACACACACACACACACACACACACAGACACACACACGCATTTGACGACACGTAGAAAACAGTTAGGCATACGTCATATTTTGTTGTACGAGTTACCTTTGAAAGTTTGGAGAAGTAACGTTTCCCCGCGCTCTCCTTCAGGAGAGTGAACCGTTTTTTTAATCAAATGAAGTGAAGGAAGGAATGGAGCGGGGTACTAGAGCGTACGGACGGCCAGTGTCACTGTGGAGTCGTGACTTGCAGCTGTTCCGCTTGTTGGTCACCCGGAGCTCCGTCAACGCGGGCATGGAGCTGATGCGAGCGCGTGGCCAAGGTTGCGCTGACTGGTTGGCGGCCGCTAGCCGAGCTCGACGACATTTACTACGGCCTCAGTAACGGAGCTGCCACACCGGCAACGCAACGGCTGCAGAATCATGGATTGTTCAAGTCTGCCTTGTTCGTGCTGCCAATTAAATGTGTCATGCAAGTAATGTCTTCTCCCTGAATGTTCGAAACCGTTTTGCAAATTGTCTGTACATGTGAAAATGGGTTACCCATCTAGTGTAGTTTTCCACTACGTGGTTCGCGGCTGTAGTTAATATCCTGTACTTGTACAGTCTCGTATTACTATTACGTCACTTTGCAACTAAATGTATGTGCTGTCAGCTGTAATGATATCTGTAGTCATCTCTTTCCTGTGGTATTTGTTGAAGTAAATTTGACATTTCGTAGTCAGCCGTTTTCAGTTATATTTATTGAAGTAAATAGCTGCCATTTCGTGTGTTTCTTTTAGGATTTATTCCTTTTTGCCTATTCTGCAGTTACATGTGTGTGTGCTCCTCATTGGCTTCGCTCGTTCCTCTTTTCTTTTGTTCATTTGGCCTATGCGAAGGCTAGCCAAGCTTGCTTGGTGATGTGAACGCAAACAAGCATAATAATAATAAGAATAATGGAATTTTCCGGAGGAGGAAGGAGGAAACTGTAGTTATCACCAACCCTCACCGCGCCCAGCTCACGCCGCTACCGCGTGCGGCCTGAGCTGGGCGCCCTGCTGTGCAGTATGGAACTGTCCTCAAGCCAGTCACGTACTTGGCAGCCCAGTGGCCTGTCTACCGGATCCCAGCGTTTAGAAACGCCAAAAGCGGCAGGGCCAGTCTCTTTTTTCGCTATTTCCCTTCTTCCAGGCCAGGCAGGCACGGCTTCATCTTAGAGCAGTAAATAACAGGTAGGGACTCAGCTCAGTCAAGCTGGACTCAGCGTGTCAAGCTGGACTCAGCTCAGTCAAGCTGGACTCAGCGTGTCAAGTTTGGCATAATACAAGAAGCGCGCTATCCCCAAACAGTTGTGTGGTTATTGTGTGAGTGTATATGCAGGAGTCCGTGGGCACGTGAGGGGGGGGGGGGGGGGGGAGTGATAAATAATAATACGTCATCTCCCTTTCCATCGTCATCATAACATTGGGCTTGATTGCCCGTTTGACTTGCGATGTGAAAATACCCCAAATACAATACAATCTCTCGTGAGCAATCAGGCGCGCAAAGCTCCCTACGAGGTTCTACATGAAGTCGAGAATGTCTAGCGTGAATACAGATAGTCAATGACTTCAGGCAAGACAACAGGTCGGACGAGCTGCCCAGGCCTCACCACCACTGCCGTTTCTGTGCTGCCTTCTCGATACACACGTATGTACACTGTATATCATGTGCACATTCACATGTCTGAAGGTTTGTGGTTTTTCAATAAAAAATAAAATAATATAAAATAAAAATAGGTGCTTGATGTCCACACAGATACGAAACGAGGGAGCTGTCAGCTCTAGACCCTCGCTCTGCTCGGCATAATTATACCTATCTCATTGTACGTGCTAGTCAAGCTGATAGAAACACTGATTGCATCAGCTTGAATAACACGCATGATGATCTATATACGTACTAGGCATAGCAAGGACCCGGAGCTGGAAGATCTCTCGTTATGACCTCGTAAGACACATACAGTCAACTTCGCATATAACGACACTCGGCGGGACACCAGAAAAGTGTCCTTATTCGCGAAGTGTCGTTATACCCGAAGTCTCATTATGTATTACAGTTGGATGGGACTTTGCTTTGGGCATGGAAATTCTGTCGTTATTCGCGAATTGTTGTAATATCCGCAGACGTTATTAGCGAAGTTGACTGTAACGCACTCATGCTCAAACATATGGGAAAACCACCCCCCCCCCCCTCCCCCCCCCCCTGACAATGTACACCAACACACACCGGCTTCTTGGATAAAAACTTTAGTTGAAATACATTATTGTGAGAACTAACATGAACAAACAAACCAAACTACCATGAGTTGAGAACACTTCAATCAAAAACAAAAAGGTAGACAGGAAAGGAGCCACTCGCTCGCCGTGCATGCTCCGGCCCGAGAGTTGCAAAACTGCGCACGCCATGCGTGCAGCAAGATGTCAGCACGGTGTACACATGATACAAATAATGACGTACAATTAACTTCGCTTATAACGACACTCAGCGGGGCATCGGAAAAGTGTCCTTATTCGCGAAGTGTCGTTATACCCGAAGTCTCATTATATGTATTACAGTTGGTTGGGACTTTGCTCTGGGCATGGAAATTCTGTCGTTATTCGCGAATTGTCGTTATATCCGAAGTCGTTATTAGCGAAGTTGACCGCATGTGTGATAACAAGTGTAACGAGTTGTCGTGATGTCATAGTCACGACGGAATTAGTCAGAACAAGTGCATACACTAACAAACACACACACACACACACACACACACACACACACACACACACACACACACACACACACACACATGCACAATAGATAAGCAGGCTGACATGCAAACACCGCAGCACACATGCTTACTATGATCTGGCAGCTAGCTCCGTGATCTGCTGTTGCATGGCCAGTCCATCCAGGATGATCTGCGTATCGGCGGAGATTGACACATCTCGCGTAACGTGTACACGTGCCGCACCCTGCTTGCCATCCTCTTCATAACCATCACCACCGTCCATGGTGGACAGAAAGCCTAGCTCCAAGTCACTGATTCCCATAGTACTCGGCAAGGTCGGTACGGCACACTGTGAAACACACAGATGTCGTAAAAAAAAAACCCATAAGCAACACCAGTCATTTTACATACACACTCAGACGTGGACTCAGACATGCCAATCGCACAAGCGTTGATAGCGACCAGCTATGTTAGACATAGCAACTTGTGCTGGGATTACACCATTCAACAGCTTGCAAGGCTGATGAATTGACCGGCACTAATTTTACACAGCTGACTGAAGTGGCTTTTTTCTGGCCAGTGAATCCCTTACACACATACACAGCAGCAGGAGAACCTGCCCCAGATCTTTTGCCCTCACCTGTGCTTGCCCAGGCCCGTAGCCTGCATGGAGCACGGGGGGGGGGGGGGGGGGGGGGCACGTGCCTTCCCCCCCCCCCCCCCCCCCCGCCTAAACATGTCGACCAAGGATCAACATGCACATAACGACCATGAATGACATGTTTGTTTTTGTTTGTTTGTTTTTTCCAAAAAAAAACACACACACCATTTGACGGCACAAAGCAGCAAGGCAGCGATGAGACATATAGAATGGCAGGAGTGGGGGAGAGGCAGGGGCAGCTTGACCGACCATAGGGTCTCGGCTTCATTGCAACCCAAGCGCTCCACAGAAATAAAAGATTTAAGAAAAAACGCAGGGGGGGGGTAGACAACTGGGGATTACGGGGAAAGGTATGCACAATATCAGAGAGTCAAAGAAGTGAATGGAGGAGGGAACCGTGTTAGAACTTTTTTTCGTCTTTTTTCTTTTTTCTTTGATCCATAGCTAGCCTGTCCGTTGGCCACTCCCACCGGGTACTGTCCGTTGGCCACTCCCAGGGGATGTAACATGGTAGCAGCCATCCTACACATGCGGCCGTACACCCCCCCCCCCCCACCTAGAAGGGGGACCAGCTACGCCCCTGTTGCCCATGACAACCATGGTCACCATATGAAAGGTGTTTCCTTCCCACACTGGAGCTCGCGCTTTTCCGCCGCGTTCACTTGACACTTGACTGAGTCACGACTGTTATCCACTGTGAATGCGATCGCGAGCTCCGGTGTAGTGAGCAAACACCTTTCCAACAACATCATCACCGAACCCCGTTGCCATTATGTTGTTACCGCATGCTACAAGCAAAACCGGGGCTCTTCCAAAACAACCCTATGCACATGCATCTCACCGCAGCAGGTGCTTGCGACGGATTGGATTTGGCAATATCCGATAGCTGGCTCAGCGCGAATTGATGACAGACGCCGAGGAAAACGGACTGGTTGTCGTCAGTGTCGCTGAAGTGATGCCCGATATCGATAACCAGCTACACAAGACGCATGAAATTGTGGAGACACAAAACAGAAAACATCTGGCTGGCTTCACAATAAAAACATGCTTGGAAATCTTCCTTGGGTGTTGAAAGATTCCAGATTAAGGCCTGACGAGAGTCATCAGTGACATCTTGCAGAAGGCAGTGTTTGTAGGTGTTTGCTTTTAGAACAGACAGTGTTCACAGGTCATTGCCAGAAGGCAGGAGAGAGATTCCAATGCATTTGATCTGAACACCAAGTCGTGTCGGTTTGCTCACTCGGGATTCACACATGCAGCATAATCGGTGATATGGTCCTAAGAACTTGGACACATGTATATGTACGCGCCAACCTACACAAGCCGACAGATACGCAAAAAGAATAAAAAGTTTTATTCCGAGTTCCTTGAGTGAACATCAGAAAACAGTTTTCTATTCTCTGATGATCGCTTAGTGCAGGAAACTCTGGAGTAGAAACACTTTTTCATCTTCTTATTCTTTTTTTGGAACTAGCTCTGCCTTTCGGTATTGAGAACTCTATTGGACAGCCTGGAACCACTCTGTTTTACAAGCCTACAAATGAAAATCTGAGATGCAAAACCCGGTAAATCCATTTCATCACATTTTGGATAATGGCCAAATAAGGATTCATTTATGTGCGATTTGTAACTAAATCCAATTTGGGTTCCAGTTTTGAAATAGATCTAGCCTGATTTTGATCGTGAAAGGTTGCTTGCTGGTGCCACTGGACCTTTTAATCACACTGAGCTGAAAATCTTATTTTCTCAAATTTGGTGCTTATCGGATTTTGCATTTCAGCTCTTCAACTATATCCGACAAAACATAATCAAGTAGCGTGCTCCACTGTCCGAAGAGTGTATTCTTACTTCACGTGCTTCAAATTGGAACTGTATCAGTGCTGTCCAAAGAGGTAGCTTGCTCTCAACATCCAGCACTTCATAAGACAGTGTCGATCCCAAAGTGCTTAGAGTCTACAGTAAAATAAACAACACACACAGACACACACACACACACACAGACACAGACACACAGACACACACACACACACACACATACACACACACACACACATACGCACACACATACACACACACACACACACACACATACACACACACACATACACACACACACACAGACACACACACACACACACATACGCACACACACACACACACACACACACACACACACACACACACACATACACACACACACACACACACACACACACACACACACACATACACACACACATACACACACACACACACACACATAATGGCCAATGTAGTCGGAAAATGTTGGGCGAGCTCTTGGGCTATCCATAGCATGCGCGCCTAAATCGTCTTGGTGAGTTCTTGCTGCGCTGACTTTTGGCTTGCGCTCTCCTTTGCAGTGTCCCTGAGCAGCCACTGCAAATTATTTGAGCGAAGGTGGAAGGCCCGTCTCATATCCTGACATTCCTGGGCATTATCCTGGACTGTGAGAAGATAGAAGTCCGACTCCCTGACGACAAATTGGCTGACATCAAGCGTCCGTTGAGTGCAGTGAGCATCAACCCCACCATGTCCCAGCGCGAACTCGAATCGCGGCTCTTCTGGGAGAAACTCTCCTTCGCTGCAAGAGTCATCATACCCGGCCGGACATCTATGCGGCGCCTGTGGTCTATTTGCAGTCGCTACCAACAGCCTTTCTACCGCATCAGTCTGACTACCGAGTGCCAGGAAGATATCCACGCGGTCGCGGATGCTGTTGCGACTCACTCAAGAGCAATCGCTTTGGCTGTTTGCAACGCCGATCGCTCCACCAGTTGATCGAAACCAGCACACTGGTGTATCCCAATTATCCGTGTTGTGAGAAAACGTGGGTATGCTTTGGGCTGTGACTTTCCACTGCATGTAGCCACTTGGCTATCCCGTTTCCTATGCACTGCTCTGATCCATTCGGGCGCAAACGCTAATTGGTTAACACACACGGGTGTATGAAAATCAGAGCATGTGTCGCGAACTGCTGTTCACGAATATTTGAAATGCAAATAAATTTAGTGTTCACGTCTTACTTGAAATTCCTGTAGTTTCAGTCTGCAACTACGTCGCCTTTCTTCTTGTCTACCTCAGTCTTTCCATTATCTGACAGTGCTGCTGCCCTCACCTCTAGCTAGGTGCAAGCACCCTCCGCCAGACGCGAACTTCATTCTTATTTCTTTAAAGACTCTCAAATTTATTTTTTCTTCGCGTTCACTTTCGTTCTGCAGTTTATTATTTCTTTATTTCCCTTTTTTGCTAACTCGTGGTACATGCGCTCCATGCGCCACCATCTTTGTTTCCATGGCACCACAGTGCACCTGACCACGCGATCGTTACGTAGCTCAGGCCCGAATGGGTCTGGGTGCGCTGCGTTGTGATTTATTTGGCCTCGCCAAGTACGCTTGCTTCCGAGTACCGCCGTTTTCAGAGCGTACTCAATGTGCGTCTCAGTTCCTTTCTCCGTTGTTTGTGTCTCCTTGGTATTGGTTATTCTTCTTCTTGACTGAAGTGTAGTTGATGCATGGACAATGGTGGCTTGTGTTATAGTAGTGTAAGCGTGTGCATGGTTGCAAAGTCTTCTATATTCTATTATCAAATCGATAAGATTTTGACAGCATGACACGATATGGCATTGTGTGCGGAGCTCCGAGCGCAGCCTGCTCTGTCAACTCTTCACGTACAGATACATGAGCATAACTTGCTTGGACAGCATGCAGTCAGCATTGTGTTACAGTGTATTCATTGGAAACTGGCACCCTAACGTTTTGGTGTCTCTCTCACATAGTTGTAGATATCGTGAAAACAACAGTACATCCTGCATTGTGTGACCCGTGCAATTACTCCTTGCCACATTTGAGGCCACAAAAGTCCAAGAACAGGGAAATAGAAACTCAGCCAGGTTTTACAAAATTAGGACAGGTATGCCATAGCAAAATGTGTGGAGAAGCAGATCCCAAACCCGGATTTTAGAAATTTAAAGTGGGTTTTTGATCCTCAATTCGGCCCAAAATTGGACTTTCAATAGCCAGCGGGACTGTTTCCGATAAATGGACTGCAGTTGAGAATTACACGCATTAAGCTAAGGGTTAGACGTACGTGTATTGGTGTGAAGCAACGCCCATGGCCGTTCACCATTCCGTCCGTTCCATCTTGATGCCTACGAAGCCATTTCCAACACCGAGACACAAAAAAACCAACGGAGAAGAATAGAGCGCCACGCCAGACACAATTACAGAACGCATGCTGCCGGCTGGGTGCAGAGACTGGTCCGCAGGAGGACCGGTGGAGGCAGTTCTTGACTGGTCCAGCCATACCCTAGCCTTTCATACAGTTTGTGTATGATATGGAGGGTAGTGACATGACTTTCATACAGTTTGTGTATGATATGGAGGGTAGTCACATGACTTTCATACAGTTTGTGTATGATATGGAGGGTAGTCACATGACTTGCATACAGTTTGTGTATGATATGGAGGGTAGTCACATGACTTTCATACAGTTTGTGTATGATATGGAGGGTAATCACATGACTTTCATACAGTTTGTGTATGATGTGGAGGGTATACACATGACTTTCATACAGTTTGTGTATGATATGGAGGGTAGTCACATGACTTTCATACAGTTTGTGTATGATATGGAGGGTAGTCACATGACTTTCATACAGTTTGTGTATGATATGGAGGGTAGTCACATGACTTTCATACAGTTTGTGTATGATATGGAGGGTATTCACATGACTTTCACACAGTTTGTGTATGATATGGAGGGTAGTCGCATGACCTCCTCAGCAGTAAACACACGTTAGCGGTCAAAAGGTTAGTCCGGCCATAACTCACGTGATGTCGATGCGAATTTCATCATTCAATGGATCACCAATGGACCTACAAAGAAAAACACACGAATATACACACGTTTACATGGTCGTGCAATTTGAAACTCGGGTATCGGGTAGTTTTGTGCCTAGTTGTTGCACTTTCTGACTGTATGAAGTATCTAGTTACAGTGGTGGAGAGTTACTCTTAACTCGTTTTCATATGTCCTTTTCCTTTCTCGTTAGCGAATTAAAAGTACACAGCTGTATGCACGAGCAAAAGCAGCCAAATGTACAGCACTCATATCAGCCAAATGTACAGTACTCACATCAGACTAAGCTACATGTCTTCGCACCAAATGTACAGTACTCACATCAGACTAAGCTACATGCCTTCGCACCAAATGTACAGCACTCATATCAGACTAAGCTGCCAAATGTACAGCACTCACATCAGACTAAGCAGCCAAATGTACAGCACTCACATCAGACTAAGCAGCCAAATGTACAGCACTCATATCAGACTAAGCAGCCAAATGTACAGTACTCATATCAGACTAAGCAGCCAAATGTACAGCACTCATATCAGACTAAGCAGCCAAATGTACAGCACTCATATCAGACTAAGCAGCCAAATGTACAGTACTCATATCAGACTAAGCAGCCAAATGTACAGCACTCATATCAGACTAAGCAGCCAAATGTACAGCACTCATATCAGACTAAGCAGCCAAATGTACAGCACTCACATCAGACTAAGCTACATGTCTTCGCACCAGATGTACAGCACTCACATCAGACTAAGCTACATGCCTTCGCACCAAATGTACAGCACTCATATCAGACTAAGCTGCCAAATGTACAGCACTCACATCAGACTAAGCAGCCAAATGTACAGCACTCACATCAGACTAAGCAGCCAAATGTACAGCACTCATATCAGACTAAGCAGCCAAATGTACAGTACTCATATCAGACTAAGCAGCCAAATGTACAGCACTCATATCAGACTAAGCAGCCAAATGTACAGCACTCATATCAGACTAAGCAGCCAAATGTACAGTACTCATATCAGACTAAGCAGCCAAATGTACAGCACTCATATCAGACTAAGCAGCCAAATGTACAGCACTCATATCAGACTAAGCAGCCAAATGTACAGCACTCATATCAGACTAAGCAGCCAAATGTACAGCACTCACATCAGACTAAGCAGCCAAATGTACAGCACTCACATCAGACTAAGCAGCCAAATGTACAGCACTCACATCAGACTAAGCAGCCAAATGTACAGCACTCATATCAGACTAAGCAGCCAAATGTACAGCACTCACATCAGACTAAGCAGCCAAATGTACAGCACTCACATCAGACTAAGCTACATGTCTTCGCACCTGTATTATCGTACATGCATTTTCGACGTAATTCACCCCCAGAAAAACTTGGTGTGACGTGCTTGTACCATGATGATGGTCATATTAACAGGGTTGATGTTGTGCTTATTTTAATTCGCGATTCAAACGGGTTATGTCAAACTAAGCGCGATTAAGCGATTCAAATACGTTCATATATCCAGCTCGAAAAGAATAATGCAAGACCTGATCAGTGATTATGCAGAGTAAGTGAGTGAGCCGGATGACTCTCATGCCGTACTTACAGTGCGCATTGCTCGCCCACCGACACGCGGTGCGTCTTGCGTACACTGCTTTCGTACAGCTCCTCGTTCTCGCTGATGCAGTCCAGTCGTCCCGACAACGCCGTCTTCGCCGAGTGCACCGTGTCATGGTCACCAACACGGAAACGTACCCGGACGTTCCCGTCCAGCACTGCCAAAGAAAACGAGCAGGTTGAATACAGACACAAGCAGACAGTGTGCCTTTGCGAGATACCGCCGCCATGGCAATGGTAATCCGGTCGGAGGTCACCGGGGCGATGGCTATGCAGCCATGAGTACGCATGCACAAAATATGCACTGCATGCAACGTTCTGTACGCACTGAGGGCGCCAGCCCCGGTCATTCGACCGGACTTCCATGTCCACGACAGTACATCGACCAATATGAAGAGAGATGTAGCCATAGATGGACGCACACAAAGATAAACTGAGATAAACACGGCGAGAAATAAAAAAAGAAAGAGAGAGAGAGAGAGAGAGAGAGAGAGAGAGAGAGAGAGAGAGAGAGAGAGAGAATGAGAGAGAATGAGAGAGAGAGAGAGCAATGCGGGGAGAAAAGACAGAAAGAGAGTGTGTAAGAGAGAAGCATAGAGACACAGACATGCTAATGTAATTACATGCAAAACATGTCAAGAACTAGAATCAAGAGACATAAAAACAGTGTTGCACCATGTATGTTTGTATCCCCCACGCTACTCTCAACACGTCAGTTGCAATTTGAAATTACAACTGACGTGTTGAGAGTAGCGTGGAGCGGCTTTACTAAAGTGATGCTTTTGGCAGCCAGGTTGCATGAAATATGACGTTGAACATTTTAGAACATAACGCTGACATCAGTCTGCATGTGCTATATCAACACAATATTCTTGTATTGTATTGTATTTTTACTTGGGCATTCCCAACAGACCCTAAGGTCTTCTTACAGGGTGCCCAGGATGAATGAATTTGTTAAGTTCCTGGCGAAATGAATTGGGGATACGATTTGTGCGAAGGGATTCGGGAAGCGCATTAAAGCGGCCAGCACCAAAGCAGGAAATAGACAATACCTTGGTCTCCATCCGTCAAGACCTTCAGCACTGCAGACAGGTTGAAACAAGTACAGGGACATACATACACACACACACACACACACACCACACACACACACATACACACACATGCACGCACGCACGCGTGCACACACACACACACACACACACACACACACACAGACGCATGCACGCATGCACACATACACGCACGCACACGCATGCACACACACATACACCGACACTAACACAGATACACCATACCACACACATGTACATGTATGTACATGAAACACACACAAGCATAAACATTTGTGTGCACAAATATACGCGCATAAAAAAGAAACATAGACGCATAAACACATAAACACGAGAAAATAAACACACACACACACACACACACACACACACACACACACACACACACAAACAGACGCAGTCAGCGTGCGCGGGATTACGCACAAAATGTCTTCTCTATTGGGAAGGATGGGAACCCGGTGACTGGTACCCAGTCAAATGCTAATCTGCCTGCGTACAGTAACAAATCCACACAAACACGATATGGGAGTGTTTCCCTTTGAACCAGACATTTACTAGAAACATCTCTGCAAAAATCTATACACAAGGTGCCCATACATGCACCAATAGTGTGACATCAACAAAGAGAAGGATTGGGGGAGGGGAAATGGACGAAAAAATTCACGATTAGCATGAGACTCGGCTGGAGAAAGAAAGAAAGAAAGAGAGAGGGGGGGGGGGTAGAGGGGGAGTCAGAAATTTCACGGATATGCCCAGACTTGCTGCGTGGAAAGCTCTGCAGTTGTTTTGGTGCTACAAGAAGCACTTGCCATGCCCCTAATCCTCACCGCGTGCATGCAGAACAAACGTTGGCGGAGGTTCCCGATTAACACGACTAAGCTCTTGGCTCGCTCTCTTGCCATCAACACAGAGACACTGAATCCAAAGAGATAAGGGAAGAAAACCAGAACACACAATACAGATTGATAGTGTAAGACATGTTAAATATAACGAGGAAGCAAATTAAATGTTTTAACAAGTTACATTTCTTCGTTATATCTGGTTCTGCTGAGGCTGTAATGCCTCATCTGTGTTATGTGCTGATATGCCTGAAGTGTGCGAGATCGTTAACGGATATTCTCGTTTACCTATGAATTTTGGACAGTCATGACATTTGCGACTCGTTATAATAGTGAGGTTCTGCCACATGGTAAAACGTACCAAAGTGCGTATGGAAACCTTGCCACGGTACGGGATCAAGTTCCACGCGGATTTTTTCATACCGTTTTCCTTGGTCTCCGTGTGAAAACTGAGCAGACAGAGTACTGTAAGACATGTTATTATAACGAGTCGCAAATTTAACGATTGTCCAAAATTCATAAGTTAACGAGAAGATATGCTAACGATCTTGCAGTATTCTGCCATATCCACACACAGCATATATGAAGCAGTACGGCCTCAACGGATCTTATTATAACGAAGAAATGTCATCCGCTAAAACTTTAGATTTGCTTCCTCGTTATATATACATGTCTTACAGTACATGTGGCGGGGAGTTCGAGCATGCTATGAGCATGCTACGCACAGCAGGACCGGCACAACGTACGAAAACTCCGTGTCAAACTTCACTGCAGTTGACACGGACTTTGGTACGTAGTTCCGTGTAGCAGAGATTCACGACTAACATGTCTTATAGTACCCAAGGAATTTCTTCAGCCACGTCTTTGTGAAACTGTTACCTTCGGTGAATCTCACACGATGACAGCCAAAATATACTTGTGCGCGCAGCATGCATGTAGCACAAATTATAAAGCAATCATTCGCTGTACCAACATTACGTGAAAGGTACTGCCTCAGTCACGGAAAGAGAATTGAAAAAACATTTTCAGTAAAAACAGGTCATGCCCTCTCTACTATCAGCATGTATCTTCCCAGGTCCACGGACGCACTGCCCGGGGTACAGTGCCCAGGGTACAGTGCCCGGGTTACAGTGCCCGGGGTACAGTGCCCGAGGTACAATGCCCGGGGTGGAGTGCCAGAGGTACAGTGCCCGAGGTACAGTGCCCGGGGTACAGTGCCCGAGGTACAGTGCCCATGGTACAGTGCGTAGGGGGAGGGGGGGGGTCCTGAGGGGGGATGCAGTACCTGGATGGGGTGTAGGGGGGGGGGGGGGGGTGAAGTGCTTGGGGGTGCTCGCCAAAGCACCCGTGCGCTGGTACTTGTATTTCACACACCACCTACCTTAACCGCATGATTGAAGAGCTGTTGCCTGTCAAAGGTATGGTCGGCGATTACACACCCGACAGGATGCAGTATACTTCTTATCACCTGACGGAATTTAACGCTCTCCTGAACAAGGTGGTAAACATGTGCACCCAGAACACATGGCAAGAACACAGGCATGCAAACCCACACACAAGCAAGCACGCACGCGTGGAGAGACATACGCATGCACGTAAACAGATGCACACACACACACATGTACACACACACACACACACACACACACATGTACACACACATATTATATACACACACATATATACACACACACACACACATGCGGGCACACACACACGCACACACACACACGGGTGCGCGTACATACACGCACAGACATACATATGCTCAGAAGCACATGCGCTAGTGGCTAGTGACCGTTCGTTCACTGACATTCAAGTCACATACCCTTGCATGGCACATTACACACAGCTCATGCCCACGTGTTTATTTATCTCTTAGGCGGTGCAACTTTCAGGGGTCCTGCTGCACACAGTGGTTGAATCAATATCAGCCGAGATGGGGTGAATTCCTAAAACAAGGGAGAATTCTTCCGGGCTTGCCCTGTGGAGGGCTCGGTAGGCTTCCGAAGGCTCATACCAGTGTTTCCTTGCCAAGGAAAGTGTCATGAACTAGCCATTGGCAGGAGGTGTCAGCTGCAGAAAACTTCTTTAGGTGGCACAGCCGAAGTGTTTAGGTGTCAGAGCCGAAGTGTGTAGGATACATGTTACAAACAAGGCCAGTCAAGGCAGCCCGAAGCAGAGTGCTCAATGCACAAATGTACAGAGCAGTGTACACATAGAACAGAGGGGAAATGCTGTGCAGCTGTAACTTCAAGTTTCACGTATGTTCATTGCTGTCCGATGGTCGCTGAAATGCGTGAAAATTGCAGCTACAGGTACACTGGCTTTAGCCCCTGCAGGACACGTCTATGACGTACTTTAGCCCCTGCAGGACACGTCTATGATGTTTTTGTTTTTTTTGTTTTTTTACAATGATCACAGCTCACAGGCAAAGACAAAAAATTGCATAGTGGGAGCATAGTGATGGTGAGGCTTTTTGCCCTCATGTACTTTAGCCCCTGCAGGACACGTCTATGATGTACTATATTCGTGGTAGTGTCATAAATCCTTTCCCATTTGCATCGCTGTGATACTAGTGAGAGAGTGCGTACCATCACAGAACTCAGGAGTTTCCAGGTCTGAAGAGAAGTCTGGGTGTGTGTGTGGGGGGGGGGGGGGGGGGAGGAGGGGATCAACCTCGTAGCCTAGACCATTCTTATTCACATCAGTTTGTCGACGGGTGGCGCCAGCATGTACAATGCATATGACGGCATGCTACGCTTGCTGCGCTTGGTAAAATTCTAGCCTGGTCGTTCTGCGGCGCAACATTGTGCGGCGCCCGCCAGTACTGTTATCCGTCGGTCCGGACCACCTAATCTCCCAGTGATGCAGCCATGCGGCCTCTCCCGGGTTGCCACCATTGCAAGTGTGTTATTCACCTTAATGTTATTGGGCCTAGATCTCGTTTACTGTGCGAATCGAAATAGACACAAACAAACAAACACTGGCTAGCGATTGCGAATGCCTCTCTGTTTGGAGTTCTCCGTGTGACGGTGAAGTATTTCTCGTCAGACTTAGAAATAATTATTTTAGAGGATTCACAGCATTTTCTCAAGTTTCACAAACCCAGCCGTAGCCTAGTCTGGCTATCCATCAAATACATACTGAGTTACAGCAAACACGAATTTCATGTTCTGAATCATACTCAGGGGCCATTCGTAAATACCGATTTTTTTCGAGACGATATTTCTTCATTTCTCCCCAGATCCCTCCAAAAGAACATACACATGTTTATGCAGGGGATCAATTATTACATTTTTTGAATGAAGTGTAATCTCCTCATGAAACGTGGCCAACAGCAACTCCAAACTCACCATACACCTAAGTTTTCATTGCCACGGTGACAAAACCGTGCCGCGGCTATATATTCACGAGGCTAACTTTCATATTTTGCATGTTATCCATTGCATGTTTCTACAGTGCCGGTCCAGATCGATATTTTTTTAACAAAGACGAGACGGTCACAGTCCACCCCCCCCCCCCCAAACGAACGAATATCCTCTCTAAAATATTGATATTTGTGGAGGACCCCTAACAACACAAGAACACGAGCCAGTGTTGGGAAACGATGTTACGCACGTCTACCGAGGTCTAATGCAAGAACTTCGACGATGTCGACACAAGAGTGAAGTAAATAATTTCCCCAAGGTGCTTTCCTGGCTCCTGCGAGTGCTGCAGTCGTGTGCTGGACACACCAGAAATACTTGTTTACTTGAGTTTGAATGAACATTTGCTGTGGAATGCAGGGTGAATTTAGGCCACTTAGAGTTTGCGAATGCACACTGGAGAGTTAATAGTACCTCATCTGGTGAAACATGTCCCGTTGTTTTGTAGCTGCGTCGCTTGCTGTGGTGGAAGACATTACTTGCATACGTCGCTGGAGATGCGTTGTCCGTAACGGACTTTGCTCCCACTCCACGAACATCATGCGAAATGACGGCCGTAGCGGACGCTGTCGGTCCCGACATGAGAGCGGACGTGTCACTGAACCGACCAGAACTGAACCGCTGGGCCACGTGTTAATCCTGGCGACATCTACGACAAACTAGTAAGTTTACAGCTAGGAACTGAGGAAACACCAATACTGAGCGATCTCCTGGTCCGGTACAACTGTCTGGTCTCCGCCAAAGCAAGAAAAGGTTGTGCGCCGATTCGACGGCCACCATCTCCGAGCTTCCTGGATTGGATGAAAGAAAATGCTGCAGCGTTTATATTTGATATTTTAGTGAAGCATGTTTCTACACTACAGACTACAGTACAGTACAGTGGCGTGTTGACAGTCTGATCTGAGTCAGTGTTGCGTCCATAGATCATGTTGATGTACATACAGAGTATCTGCTTGCCGCACGCGTCCTTGACTTGTACAGCTGTACACCGCATGCACACTTTATCATGTAGATCTGCATGATAGTAGATCTACGTATGGACTGTATGGACCTACACTCATACCTCTCTTATCCGGGCGCTTCGGGACCGGACACTGCCCGTAACTTCGAGGGTGCCCGTAACTCCGAATCATACATCTTGATGGGGAAAAGGCCATCGATATGACATAATTATGACGTCAATATTTCTACGAAAAGTGACAAAAGAGTAGTAATATTTCCCCTGAAACTCGCCCAAATAGTGCCCGCGCCCGGTAGACCGAAGTGCCCGTAACTTCGAAGTCCGGATAACCGAGGTATGAGTGTATCACTAAAGTATCAAGGATCATACAGTAATCATGTCACGTATGATGTATACAGTCATGTAGATTGGTAATGTGCCTGCAGGCTAGCGGCGTGGCGCTACACTGCACTGCCACTGGCACTAGCGGTCATCTGGTCTGGTCATGCTGCGCGATCTTTCTCACCGTCCGTAGACTAGGGGCGCGTTCGAATCGTCACTCTTTGACTTTTCGAGGAGCTTCGTTTTCCTGAAGACGTGGCCTTATTGGCCTCTTCAGAAAAACGAAGCTCTGGGAACCCTAGGAATGACTTGGTGCTTGTGACAAATGCAGAAAGGGGCTTAGCTTTCCGACATCCAGGTGGAAGCATGTTCCATCTGTCTGCTGCCAAAAATGAAATAGCATTCAGGCCGTAACGAGATGTAGCTCTGGGTAGGTTCAGAGCGGCTGAAGCTTGACCGCGGGTAGCAGCATTTGTGCGGCATGGTGCAGAGCGGGGGGGGGGGGGGGGGGGTAAATATCGTGCTTAAAAGAGGATTGGTGCAACGAGATAGACACCTAAAAACAAACACAAACAGCTTCAAGTTTACAGGGCGAGAGAAAGTATACAGGTTATATTTGGTGAGAATGAAACCGATAGAAGTATACTGATCATGGCCAAACACTCGCCTTAGGCACCTATTGCTGGTTGACTCAAGTTTGTCACGGAGTTTAGCAGACAAGCAGTCAACATAATATGTGCTGGCATAGTCCAAGGTACTCTGGACAATTGTCAGGTAAAACATGCGGCGGCCGGTCATGGAGACATCGCGGGGCCAGTGGCGAAATGAGGCAACCTAAGTCCTTACAGGCTTACACGGTGCCTTTGCGCACACACGCTCCACCTGCTGCTCGAAGCTGAGCGACGAGTCCAATAGGAGGCCAAGGTACAGAACATGGCTGGACTCGGGGATTACGGTGCCTTTGCAGGTGATGCTGGGGATCACGTCCAGGTAGGTGGATTAGATTCGCCAACGGGCCAGCGGGGCATATTCAAGTAGGGGTCGCACGAATCCCTTGCACTTGTAGATTGCCACTGGACCATGGTCGTCCAGGATGGGTGCTGCCTTTCGTAAAAAAACCAGCCTTTGGGAGGCGCGCAGTTGTGCGAATGTGTGCTCTGTAGGAGAGAGTTGGGTCGAGCATGAGAATTGACTCCCAGCATATTCAGGGTATCTGTCTCCTGGAGTGCTTCACTTCCAAAGGTGACTGGTGGAGCGCAGGGGGGAACGTGCTTGCGATGTAGAGTCATGCGCTGCGTCTTGGCTGGCTCAAAGCAGATACGCTACTTGCGGCCCCGCTCCTCAAGACTGTTGAGGGACCCTTGGAGGGAGGCAGTGTATTCTGTGTTCGCTCCTGGATGTCTTCTTGATACCAGGGAGTCTAGTCGTATACGACTCCCTGCTTATTATTATTATTTTTATTATTATTAACTGGTTTGAGGGAAAGAGACAAACGGTAAAAGTCTGAAGAAAAAATTGACTGTTACCACCAGGACTCGAACCAGGGACCCTCGCTTGTAGCCAGCGATGCTCTAACCACTGAGCTATGGTGTAGTCGTCATCCCAGCAGAGGCCGTTCAACATTTTCTTCAGACTTCGCAACTCACACTTCCTGTGAATCCACACAGGCGGGTGGGACGCAGCCCTCACTGTAACCCACACACTTCACGTACAAACTAGCACGCGGGGAGCCCCAAGTAATAAAATATTAACTGGTTTGAGGGAAAGAGACAAACGGGAAAAGTCTGAAGAAAAAATTGACTGTCACCACCAGGACTCGAACCAGGGACCCTCGCTTGTAGCCAGCGATGCTCTAACCACTGAGCTATATGGTGTAGTCGTCATCCCAGCAGAGGCCGTTCAACATTTTCTTCAGACTTCGCAACTCACACTTCCTGTTTTTTTTTTTTTTTTTTTTACGAGAAACCACGAACCTCGAGAACAGAATACTGCATGGTAGAGGTGGTTGCAGACGCAACTGTGGTGGTGAAAACTGGAGCATCTCCGCCGACCTGAGGTCTCGGCTTCAGCGACACTTCAGAGCACCAAAAACTGGGGAGGAGTAGGCACAGGGGGAGGGGAGGGGGGGGGGGGTACATTTATATAGAGGAAGGAAAAACGGAAAGATGATCCATGTGATAGAGGAAGAAAATAAAAAATAAAAAATAAAAAATAAAAAATAAAAAAAAATAAAAAAGGGGGGAGCCAGGGTGCAAGCAGAGAGGGTGTTCAGGGAGTGTTCAGAGGGCATCTGTGGCTGAACGCCAGTCTCGGCTGCGGAGCGACTTGTAGGCGCCTTCCTTGACTGCCTGCATTCCCTTCTGCGTGGGAAGGTTGCGTAGCAGGGCAGATGGGAGACGATTCCAGTCTTGGATCGTGGCATGGGGGAATGTGAATCCACACAGGCGGGTGGGACGCAGCCATCACTGTAACCCACATACTTCACGTACAAACTAGCACGCGGGGAGCCCCAAGTCATAACATATTAACTGGTTTGAGGGAAAGAGACAAACGGGAAAAGTCTGAAGAAAAAATTGACTGTCATCACCAGGACTCGAACCAGGGACCCTCGCTTGTAGCCAGCGATGCTCTAACCACTGAGCTATGATGTGTCGTCATCCCAGCAGAGGCCGTTCAATTATTATTATTATTATTATTTTATATATTTTACTAGGGTGTTTTCCACAGACCTAGGCTACGGTCTTCTTACGGGAGCCCCTTGATACTCATAAACTAAGCAGCTGGTAGGAGAAGTCTAAAAATATTATTTATTATTATTATGTGCTTGTTCGCGTAGACATCAGCATGGCCTGCAGCTGCATTAATGGGCATGCAAATCATGCAAACCAGCCAAAAATGTTCGCATAAGCCACTTCGAATAGATACAAAAGACCATAACAGTTTCAGAAAAAGAAGAAATATGCGAACAGAAGACAAAAACTAGGGTGCCGACACCACTCGGGCACAGATGCCCACCCAGCCGCTTCGGTCAGCAGCAAGGGCACGGAACGCCTCCAGATCGACTTTGCTTGACAAGGAAAGTCCAATCCGCTTGGCATCATCTTGTAGTAGCGTTGGTAGTGTGTGTCTTGGTCGTCCCCTCCAGCCCGCTGGACGAGGCTCTGCGAAGTACGCTCCCATGGCCAGTGATGGTGGGGAGTCAGCCGGGAGCCGGAGGACGTGCCCAAAGAGCCTCCACCTAGCTCTCAAGATGATATTGCCGAGAGGAACCGCGCCGGTACGCTCATAGAGCCTCTCGTTCCTAATCCGAATCGGGAACACAATGCCGATTAGCGCCCGCAGCTGTTTTCGGTGGAAGGCCTCAATACGGCTCAGCTGCTGTTTCGTTGGTGCCCATGTTGCACAATTGTAGCAGAGTACAGGGAATACAAAGGCATTATAGAGCCGGATGCGGAGATCCTCCGAAACTAGCGACCTACGGATCCACAGCGTCCAGAGTTTACCAAAGGCAACAGTTGCCAGTTGCTGTCGCCGTAGCATATCCTCGGCATCACCTAATAGGGACCCGAGTTTCTTGGTGGTTCGCCACTCCTCCTCGATGCGATCAGTGTGCCGTTCGATGTGCGTGTGCTCTGTTTTGGTCTCATTCACTTTCAAATCCCATTCGAGGAGCTTGTTGGATATGGTTGGAAGGAGGGTCCTCAGCCTCTCACCATCAGTAGTCACGAAATCCACATCGTCGGCGTAGGCAGTTTCAGTTGGTAACCCCAGGGAGATATCGGCAGGGGGACGTGGTAGAAGAAGAGGCCGGACATCACGCAGCGCACCCTCAAGGTACACAATGAAAAGAACAGGAGACAACGAGTCACCTTGGGGTGTGCCGCGGAGAGTGGGGAATGACGGGCCCTTAGCGGATGGGAGTACAACCCGCAGTACGGTGTCCTGGAGGAGGTAACTGATCATTCGGATTTCATCCGGCTGCAAGAACGATCCCAGCACCGAGATGAGCCGTGGCCTGCTTATACAGTCAAACGCTTTTGACATATCAATGCCTAGGATATCCAGCGCACAGCGATAGCGTTGGCATCGAGCCGCCAACCATCGGTATGACCACACAACATCTGTGGTGCTTCTGCTGGGGCGGAAACCACTCTGTGTGTGTGCAACGAAGTTGTTGACGTCCTTGTTGATCCTCCGCAGCACAATCAATGATAGAATCTACCTGAGCGCTGTGAGTAAAACCACGGGCCGTAGGTGAGCGACTGGTCCCCTTGATTTGCCAGGCTTTTGTAACGGAATAAGCGACCCACTACCGATGCTGTTCAGGGGCAGGCCTGTCTCGACGGCAGAGTTGAGGACCTGGGCGATATTGGAGTAGACAAGGGCAGGTGAGTACTTTAGCAGCTCCCCTGGCATGTTATCTGGGCCACGTGACCTGCCATTGTTCAACTTTCCAGCTGCCTGTGTCACCTCTGCCTCAGAAATGGGCCGCTCAAGCCGGCGGTACTGAATAGCGCAATCCTGGTCGGCAAGGCCCGGTCGCCGCAGCAACAGTGCACCAGGCTCTGGTGTGTACAGCTTAGAAAAGTGGTCGGTGATTTGGATGGCTACTGAGACTGGCTGTATTACTTGTCTACCCGCTTCATCATGCACAGTGATAGGCTGTTATTTTTGTCGCTGGAGTAGATGGACTGCATGAAACATCTGTGCTGTATCCTTCTTTGCTTCTACTTCCCTCGCCCGAGCATCCAGCTCATTCGATGCTAGTTCCTTTGCTCGCAGCCGGATTCGGTGTGAGAGGGTGTTCCGCCGATGCTTCAGATCAGCCACTTGCTGTGGATCCCTACTTGTAGTTATCAGCAGTCGTAACCGTTTTTTCTCTTCCGACCAGGAATGTAGCTGATCATCCATGAAACGCTGTTGCTTCTTTGGGGGCTGTGCCAGTCCAATGGTATTCTTTGCCGTTTGCTGGATGAAAGACGAGATCGATGTCCAGTGTGCTTCCGGTGTGGATGTGTCTACTGCGCCGTTGGCGATCCGATGGGTGAGTTGGGACTGGAAGTTTTGACGGCAGGTGTGCTCGCTCAATCTATGAACCTGAAACTTCTGAGCTTTCGCGGTTCTTTTTTTGTTGTTGTTATGTGCCCACAGACCATAGATCCTGCTCAGACGGGCGCGTGCGACAACGAGCCGATGGTCTGATTTCACCAGTGTCCCAGCATAGGATCGGGCATCTGTGAAAATCTGCTTCTGGTTGCTGCTACTCAAGCTGAAATCTATTTGATTGTATATAGGGATAGAGCAACCGCCGTTTGTGTTGTGCCTCCAACCTGTCCAGGTTGTCAGATGCCTAGCTGGATGTTGAAAGGCAGTGTTACATGCAAAGAGACCAAACGACTCGCAGAAATCCGCTAGCATAGCTCCGCTGTAGTTACGACGTCCACGACCATATCGTCCGGTGCACGAGCCGCCTGAGTCATCCCTCTGGCCGAGTTTGGCATTGAAGTCGCCAGCGACGAGAACGAGCGAACTGGACCCTACTGAACCCAGGCAATCTCCGAGCGCTGAGTAGAACTCGTCGAGATGGACATCATCTGCCGCTACGCGGGTTACCGTTGGCGCATACACATTGACGAGAGATAAAGTACTTCTCTTGGACAAATTGATTTGTATCGCAGCTACTCGGTCTGATACTGACCATATCCGATGAATACGTTCAAACAGGCTGTTGTGAATAGCGAACCCAAGCCCATAATGCCTGTTCGCCGTTGGTAAGCAGAATATCCTGTAGTCACCAGCTAGTTCGTCGCAGCCGTCCTTTATTTTAGTCTCTTGCAAACTGCAAATTTTAATTTTGTATTTCCGAAGGTCATCAGCAAGCTGCTGTTTCTTTAGGCTTGACGACAAGCCGCGGACATTGAATGAACCCACACCAAAGTCCTGTTCTGTACTACTGTCATTACGTTGAGACGCAAGCGTTCGAAGTGAAGAAGACATTGAGCTCCAAGAGGAGCCTGAGGAACGTCACCTCCTCATCCAAACTAACTCCCCTGGAATAGAGAGGGTCCGAATCGGGTCTAACACCCCTACGGTTCAGATGGTCGCAACCGACTGGGGCTCTACCAACTGTGGATGGTTGTAGAAAGGTCACTGTTTCCGAACACAATGTCCTCCACGGTGTTGTGTACAATGGCGTGTACATGCTGTCAACCAACAACTAAGGTACTTAAGTTAAGTCTTTACTTGTTTGAACCATCAAGGTTTACATGTGATTGTATCTAATATGTATGTTCTGCACAATCTGAGAATTTGCGCAATCTGAGAGTTCCCAGATTGCGCCGACCAGGCACGGTAAAATCGGGTGCCTGAGGTTCTGCGAGACTTCTTTGTCACTTCCGGCGTTCTCAGATGCCTGCGGGGGGGGGGGGTTGCAGGGGATGACGTCGTCAGCTGAATCGGTTGCGCTGGGGGATCGATCAGGCTTGGGGCGCGGACCGACCTCCATGAACTGTTTCCGGCTTACCGCAGCTTCAGGGCTGCTGGAATTGCTGCTGCTGGCTACCAAACTGGACATGTTGTCTGCATCATTCCGTTTCTTCCTCTTACCCAGCTTCTGACTACTGGGAATAGGAATAATCTTTGCTAAACCCACAGAGGTGAATCAGGCATCTTTCTCTTTCGCAGGCATCTTTAATTGATCAACATCTGTGCAAGCGTGTTCTTATGAAAATGTTTTCAATCGTTGTCGTGTGAACGAGGCCTTTACAGCCATAAGGCCCATGACACAAATCAATGGGCACCTGCTTATCTGCGCAGTGTGACCATGATAACTGCGCATGCGCAGTGTGACCATGATAACTGCGCGGGTGTTAGCTCTAGCACACGTACATATACCAATATGATATACCTACCTACCCATGCGGCGATAAACTACAGTTTTTTTTACCCATGATCGATCCAGAGCTAGGCATTGGCGGATAATGCTCGAAAAGGTGGCAGATTCTGCTCGAAAAGCAGTGAAATTGGCAGAACCATACAAACCTTATGCTAAGTTATGGCGGGCAATTCCTCGAATTCTGCTCCATTTCTTTATCCACATACCAAACATGCATGAAACTTACCAGAAAAGTACCAAATTCTGCCAATTTTTCTGCCGGCATTATCCGCATATGCCTATCCAGAGCTCGTTTTGTAGACTTCTCACGCTGCACAACTACTGATATTCGCAATAGTCACTGACGTCTTGCAAAGCGGCACAGGCTAGGCTCATGGACAAGCCGTTACCATGGATACCGCTGGCAGTTGGCGTTTGGCCCACTATGATGACACCGTTCACTAGTGATGGCCAGCACATATTAATTCACTGGGATGGCACTCATGGAAGTGATGACACGTAGCCAGCCCTCCAGCACCTTGCCTCTAGTTGAGTGTAGCTATGTCCATTACGTAATTGTGACGTGATTCTAATACAGCAGCACTGTATTGAAAGTGTTGATAGTCTTCAGGTCATGCTAATTCACAAGAGTTTGGATTCTGGAAAACCTTTCGTGACGTCGATATGGAACGGCTGGGAGCGAAGTGTCATTTCTACTACTGTTGACAGTATGGAAATGAGAAGAAGAGGTTGGTGCGATGGAAATAGCGTCATTTTAAAACCCTGCAGAAGAACTGAAGTCAATCAATGTTACATTAGCATTACTCATATCCTGTAAACCGCACCGGTGATATTTTACCGATTTTAGAGAAAGGAGTGTTTTCACTAAAGTTTTGCCAAACGAAACTTTGCATGTACAGTCTGGTACAATGTAATCAGGGTTTTTATATCAACTATGAATCAAAATCGAATTTAACTCGGATACTGAGCCAATATGAAACTCGGACGTTGAGCAAATAATAAAATTAATGTAGAAAGGAAAAGGACATAATATGGATACGAGTTGAGAGTAACTGTCCATAATATGAACAGGTCGCATATTGCCCGCATAAACAAATCATACGGGGGTCATGCATCTGTCCATGATCGTTAACCGGAGTTGCTTGTTGGTGGCGAGGTTGAGGCATTCCTGAATCGGCACATTCAGAGGCTTGAGGTCTTCTTTGATGTTGTCGACCCATCTCTTGTGGGGTCGTCCACGGGGGGCTTGATGTCCAAAGTATTGAGGGCTAGCTGCAGTGCCTTGTAAGATGCGTCTGGTCCTTCCCGGGCAACGTGCCCTAGCTACAGGAGGCGTCGCTCTTGACATG